ACTTGGGGAATTGAAGTCTCCTAATAGTACACAGTTCTTTCCCCCACCATGCATTTTAATGAAATCCAGCAGACGAGCTCCGGAACCCAATGGAGCTCTGTAGACAACCCCGACCATCAGGGATCTGCATCCATCATGAACCCAGCACTACAGGGCTTCGAAACTTCCATTAACATCACAAGTAGCTTCAACTAGATGAGCCTTGAGGTCTGCATTCCAGTACAGGATCACACCACCTCCTTTGCGGTCAGCTTGGCAGAGGTGATACTCGGGGATCTGCACTACCGAGTCCAGGATATCCGAGGAAAACCAGGTCTCGGTGAAACTCATTATGTCAGGATGACTCACTTAGGCAACAAATTGAATTTCATCAAGTTTGTTTCAAATACTGCGCACATTAGCGGAAATTATGCGGAACCCGTTCTTCACCTTTAACGCCTGGGTATGACCAGAAGTGGTTTCCAGCGAATTTTGGTAGCTTTTCGGACTACGCGAAAATCCACAATATGTAAATCTGTCTCACCGTTGTCTCGGCGGGATCTGAGTTTGTCAACCGCTTGGTTCATTTTCACTCGATCATCCGGGGAAAGATCTCGCAATACATAAAATGGTTTATCTATAAGATGCGGAGCTCGTCGAAGAATGCGACGGGCCTCGTCATCATTTTGACATGCAATTTTAAGTGTACGAACATTTGAGCAGTCCTCCTGTTTCTCGCCGAGGCGGAAAGCCGAAGCGATGTTGATTCCTTGTTCTGCTTCATCGAACAGTCAAGAGATCATTCGTTGTAGAAGCTCCTGGACATCTACAATCCTTTCAGCTGGGATGGCGTTGGTGGACTCGCGTACATCCTGAATTTCCCAATGTTTATGCGGAGAAATATATTTCTGGGATTACTGGAAGCTGAAGCTTTCGACATTGTGGCCGATAGCAAGATATTGGAGGAAGAGGAGCTCGCGTGCCCCCTGGACTTTCTACTGCTTCTCACGCAATGGCGCCAGGCATTCCACCCTTGTTACCAAAAACCAGATGAGAGTCTAAAAGCTTTCATCATCTGAGATGTCTCGCTGAACGCGCGTTTGTGGACGCAAATCGAGGTATGCAAGCGAAACGTATTCTGGAACAGTTGACAGAGGGTGTGCGTACGCCGTCTATTAAACGCTGGTTCTTGTTACACCCATCGACCGGTGGCCCAATTGTTTGCGCGCCTGGTTTGCAACCATATGGTCCCCGGTTCGACTCCGCGTATGGGTGGGCGTCCTCGCAGTATACTCAGCCCACGTGCACTTGGTGGCGGTCGCGTGGCAGCAATGCGCCGTTATGGCGTACAGCTGACACATTATCATTATTTCTTTGTTACACCCACCACAGCAATTAGACGACGCTCTGAAATTAAGGGAGAAACTTGGGCGTGTGGACGCGGCTGTGTGCGTCATTGCGCTGCGCCGAACTGAAGGAGCCTTTCATCACCAACCACCATGCTGTCGAACTGAACAGAAACCCACAGCAAAATGCTCCGCGTCGCAGGAACCTCGGATAGACTGCAAATATTCATGTGCACAACCAACGCGCTGCGTCACGAAAATCTGTCCGTTCACTGTACTAGCAGTGTCCAGCGCGCATTGTGCAGCTGTTCCCCTCGTACTTGGTATTATGTTGACTAATCTTGTCAAACTGCTGGTTGATACGTGAGCTACGTGCTCCCTAGTTCGAAAACGTATCGTCCCAGCGGACGCAAACATCTTCCTTGACAGTTCAGTAAACCTGGTGGCAGCCAACAAGACCGCCATTAAATTCTTAGGTTGGACTACAGCCACAATAAAGTTAACAAGAATCTCCTCCGCACATCTTTGTCACTGACCTTCCTTTCCCGTTTCAAAGCTAAAATTCCTTTAGCAGCAAAACCCTGGAAATCATCAACTAAATACTGCCATTCGTTTCACCTAATAGTTCGCTGATGGCATTACGGTGGGAGAAACGCCTGTAAAACAAATTATTCGAACCATTACTGCAGAGCTACAGACTTTTACCGGCATTGAATTGGAAGACATCTCAGTCAAATACCACCGTGCACTTCCTTGGTTAGAAGACGATATAGGATTATGCAACTTTTTACAATACCGCATCGATACTGGCAATGCACCACCAACACGAAAATCAGCTAGAGCTGTGCCCCTCCAATTCCAGGAAGAATTAGCTCGCATTATCGAAGACCTTTTGCGACGCAATATTATTCGACCGTCAAAATCGCCTTGGGCATCGCCCATCCTTCTTGCCAAAAGGAAAACCGGAGAACTACGGCTTCGTATAGATTATCGGAATCGTAATTCGGTTGCTCGAAAGGACATTTCCGTTATCCAGAATGCCTGACAATGCACGCCTTGAGTGGCTCATGTTTGCTTACTACCTTGGACCTGGCTTCGGGTTATTGTGAAGTCAAGCTACACCTGGACGACAAGTGTAAGTTTGCGTTTATTGTCCCGTCAGGTCTTTACGAATTCCAGACCATACCGTTCGGATTAACAAACGCGCCTGCAACTTTTCATCGCTTACTGCACACAGCTCTGGCAGAGTTGATACCGAAACACTGTCTAGTTACCTAGATGATATCATTCTGCACGGTAGGACTGCGGAAGAACACAATCAGAGCTTTATAGCCCTATCGATCGTCTATTGCTGCTGGGGTTAAAACTTAAGCCTTCAATGTCAGTTCCTAAGAGAAGTGGTCTATCTAGGTCACATCGTGTCTGGGTAAGGAGTGCGCTGCGACCCGATGGAGATCGAGCGGATTCGCTCATGACCGGTTTCAAAAAAAAGCTGACGAAGCGCGTAGCTTTCTCGGCCATGCCTCTTACTATCGGCGCTTCGTTTGACCGTTTGTCAATATCGCTAGTCCGTTGAACAAACTTCTGAAGGCTGATCAAGCCTTCATTTGGGGAAGTGCGCAACTGGAGGCATTTGAGATGCATCAAACTGCACTGTTTGAAGCACCAATTTTGACCTCTGACACGCGTCCATCCGCGGGTCCTTTCATTTTTGACACGGATGCCAGTGACACTGTCATCGGAACTGTACTTTCGCAACGCACGGTGGAAGTAATGGAATCGGCTATCGCGTATACGAGCAGGAGACTTTAGCGGAGAGAGCGCAATTATTGCACAACACGAAAGGAAATGCTGACACTTATGTTTTTCATCAAGCACTTTAGGCACTATTTACTCGGCCGCAGGTTCAATGTGCGTACCGACCACCAATCATTGATCTGGCTTCAAAACTTCGGAATCCCTGAGGGACAGATCACCCGTCGGTGGGAGCAGTTACAAGACTACAACTTTGAATGTCAGCTCCGTCCGGCACAAAGTATGGGAATGCCGACGCCTTATCCCGAAGGCCTGTGAGGGATCACGGACCATACCCATCTTGCACTGCTGCTTGCGTAATTGCCGTCATCCTGGACGCTCCGGAGACAGAGCAATGGATTCATTTGCAGTCGATGGACCCGGAGCTGTGCCTCTTGTATAATTGCATCATCCGGGATGAAGACCGACCAACGTATCAGAAGCTGGTAGGCGCCAGTCTGGAAAACAAATACCTATGGTCTCTATGGCTGCATTTACGCGTGATCGAAGGTGTGATGTATTTCCGAAACAGCACGGCTTATTTGCGAAGCATTGTTGTGCGTAGTTCCGCAACGTAGAAGTTGATTAGAAGGATCCACGACGAGTTAGGACACGCAGGACAGTATAAAATGGACGCTGCGATTTGACGTCAGTTCGGGTGACCCCATCTACGGCGTGACATCGCTATCTATTGCCAGTAGTGCACTGGCTGCCCAAGGATCAAAAACCCCTCAACCACTCGTCGTGGTCCACTGCAGCCAATGGCGGCCGACTTTCCGAACCAGATCATGGGTATCGACATTATTGGCTCTATACTATAGGTCATCGTTATGTTCTTGTTATAGTGGACTACTTTACCAAATGGTGTGAAGCAGTCTTAATTCGGAATGTAGACGCATGGGGTGTGGCTGTAAGGTTCGTCAGCAATTGGGTGGCAAGGTGAGGATCACTTTATGAGTTGCGCTCAGACGACGGAACCAACTTCGAGAGCCCACTCATGAGCGAGATGTGTCACGTTTTTGGCATCCGGAGGACACGCTTATCTGATGATGATGATGGTTATTATCCTGAGGAAAACGGATTAGTTGAACTCACGAACCGTACGCTGAAGACGCTATTACAGGCTTTCCTGACTACCGAAACTCCTCTGAAATGGGGCATGGCTCTGCCCAAATGTTTCCTGGCTTTATGGATCATTCGTCCACTCATCGACTGGTCGGACACCACATCTCATGATGAACTGCGTCTGCCCTCGGATACTCTGCTGCCGACGTCACACCATGAATTCCTAATCGCATCGGAGCATGTACATCGGTTACAGTCGTGTCTTTTGCGAGCCCACCAGATCGCACAAGCGCACCTGCAAACCTCGTAACGTCACAAGAAGGCCTGCTTTGATCGGAACGCTTTCAGAGTCCGTTCAAGCCTGGGGATATGATCTGGCTCACAGCAACAGTAACACCAACGAGCGTCCCTGCGTAGCTCCGTTGAAACTGAGATGAACCGTTCGTTGTGGAAGAAGTGTTGTCAGATATAACATACCGGATCATGAAGCCAGGCGATCCTGGTTCCTCGATGGTTGCACACTTCAGTAGACCGAAGCTAGCCAAGGAAGTCTCATGCGCTGAGGACAACGCCTGTTAGAGGAGGGAGCAATGTAACATGACGCGGCATGTTATTTTAATCCCCTTCGGAACCGGTGCGTTTAGTGCCGTCGTGACCTTAATTTCGGGTCGCTCAGCCTGCGTCTGTTTGCCTCGGTTATTCGGCACATTCTTTGTGTCAACTTGTCAACAGGCACTCTATATGTTATTTGTCGACATTAGTTCTTACACTAGGTGATCAGTGTTTGACTTCCGGTCACCTACGTTCTCTGTTTTCCATTGCAGATCATCAGGTCCATCGCGATCTACTCCGCGTGACGGTTATAGAATAGTTTGTAATCCCCGACCCGGACGAAGTCTATGTCAGAGTACGAATCGGTGGTCGCTGGAGCCCTGCGACTGCGCAGCGATCAAGGGTTAAAAAGGTTAGTCCTTTGCACACGACATACTTTAAATTCAGGAAAAAACGGAAGCACAAGAAAAGTGTTAATCATGTGAACACTGAACATGAAGCCGTGGTTGATGGTGAAGACGGGCAAGATACTGTCGTTACTCACACTGTGAATTCTTCACAAGGCCATCTGACAAAGGCACAAAGAGAGTGGGAAAAGAAGAAAGACAAGAGGACTCTAGAAAATGTTTTGTGCAAAGCCGAAAAATCACACAAACAGCGTATCATTGAATTCAACAACCACCTGGAAACTTTGACCGAGCATTTTGACATACAGAAAGTGTCCTGGACAAAATAATTTGTTGTTTTCCACTCTTGTTATTCCAGTATATCTACCATCAAAGTTTACTTACGATACTCGATTTACAAGGCAATAGTTGGTGCATGTGGGTTGTACTTGTACTCCTTCTGGTGATTGTGTCTAGTTTCGACCACATTTTAGAAAGTCCGATACTTCTTTTGTTGACGTTCCGTGAGACAATCGGTCCTGCTCAAGCTTTTTTTCGGAGCTTTTGTATGTAATCTGTCAGAATAATATTGATAAGCAAGTTTGACTTTCAGCTTTCTTGTGATCCAAAAAGGCTTGAAGTGTCTGTCTTACGGATTTCTTATACATTTATTTAATTATTGGATGATAGCAAGCAGAAGGAAGGTGCTTTACCAACACCGTCAATTCCCGATCGTGGCGGAGATGGCTTGCAATCGCAATTAGGCTGGCATATATATATATATATATATATATATATATATATATATATATATATATATATATATATATATATATATATATATGCCCCATGCCAAGGCTGTTGTTGCAATTATGATGCTTCTTCATCGCAGTTGGGCTAAACCAACTTACACTTAAACCAGGTCTTTTTACGCTGGATGCATTTCATTCCGATTTGTTTGGTTTGTTCTGCCTACCTGAATAACTTATGCGCCTTTCTTACGCTAATTGTGGTTATCTTCCTTAACTTTATTGCGTTTGTAGCATTTTTGAGTAACCTGTGGACATTTTGTACTTCTCGCGGATTCGTTGCTAACCCACTTACTTCATATGCTGATTTAGCGAATAGTTATGTCTACATAGCCTCACGCTTTAGCGGATATATTTTATTTTATAATGTTATTTCAAGTGATTGGCTGTTTGCTTGACGTCCTCAGTGTGGCTGCGCTTTATGTGCATCTTGACAAGGTGCCTACCTGTGTCGGCAAGGTGATTGCCCGCATATTGCTCTACCGCCTCGCCAGTCAGATTGTGGAACCGAACGGGGCGGAAGAATAATGTGGATTCCGTTCGGGATGCAGCGCTATAGGTATCCTGTTTGCGGCTCCTCAGTCGCAGAAGTGTAGAGAACCACACAAGCCGTTGTACTCACTTTTGTTGGTTTCGCCAAGGAATTTGATACGGTAAACCGCGAGGCATTGTGGCTGGTGTTGCGTAAGTGTGGTTGCCCGCGTAAGTTTGCAGTTTTTACTGTATGTCTGCACAGTGGTATGCAGGCGAGGGTGCAACTGAATGGAGAGACCTCGGATGACTTTACAGTTGTCTCTGGTGTGAAGCAAGGCTGTCTTAGCTCCTGCCCTGTTTAATATTTATCTTCATGCAATGGTATCTTTTGTTTTTGATGCCGCTTGTGCTTACGGCATTGGCGTGAAGCACCATATTGATAGTGGTTTGTTGAACATCCGTCGTTTCGGTGCCAGAACTCTAGTCTGTGAGACAACTATCCGTATGTTGCTATTGGCTGACGACTGTGCGTTGTTTGCACACAGCGCGGATGAGTTGCAGCACATGACTAGTGCTCTGGCTTCGACAGCGGCCAAATTCAGGCTTACCGTCAACACAAGCAAAACTGTTTGTCTCTTTCAGCCTTCACCGGAGGTGCAATCTCCAATATTGCCACGAATCAGCTTTGGCGCAGAAATATTGGAAACCACCTCCCGCTTCTGCTTCCTTAGGAATGTTATGTCGACTGACCAGCAGCCGCACAGTGAGCTTCGTATCCGCGTGTCGAAGGCAGCGGCGGCATTCGGGAAGCTTGAGTACCGAGTGTGGAACAACCATCAGCTTACCGTTGGCACGAAGCTGATGGTGTACAAATCCATGGTACTGTCCGTTCTTCTATACGGCAGTGAAACGTGGACGATGTACCGGCGGGATGTGCCATATCTCGAGCGGTTCCACCAACAGTGTTAGCGACGAATTCTGCGCATCGATTGGTGCGATAGAGTTGCGGACACGAAAGTGTTGCGCCGAAGTGGAATGTATGCAGTGGACTGCCTACTTTTGCTGAGACACTTGAGGTGGTTCGGTCCTATGAGCCGTATGGATTCGACGCGGATACCGAAACAACTATTATATAGTCAGGTGAGTATTGGGAAGCGGCACCTGGGGAAACCAAAGTTACGATACCAGGACATGATCAAAGTGAGCCTCTCATGTTCAAATCTTGATTGCAAGTCATGGGAATCGAAGGTGGTTGATCGGCGTGCATGGCGCGATCTGATCACGAGGGCAGTTGCCAAGGTGCAAGAGAAAGACCTCATACACGCGGAGAAAAGCGGCATGCGCCGATGGGTTGTACTCTATCGACATTGAGTGCATAGTGCTGTAGCGGCTGCCTGAGTCAGGTAGGCCTACTGAGCCATGAGCGAGGCCACTCAGGGTCAACACCGAAACGACGACGGGTCCTGCAGCGAACGTAGACATAACCGGCGCAGCGTTTGTAGGTACGCTGCATTCAATTTACCAACCGCTTGTTTGAATGTTGGGTCTCTTTATTTCAGGTGGAGGGTTTGGTATGTTGTCTCATTAATATCTACGTGAACTATCTTCCATTAACTTGCACACATCGCTCAAGATAATTGTAGCTAACTTTGATGACATTATCGCAATTGTGGCATTTTCTGAAAATATATTTTGTGACCTCTTGAACCTTGCGCGGAATTTTTGGCAACTAATTTATTTCATATGCTCACTTGTTGAAGAGCTATGACGGCAGATTTGTATGCATCATTCGATTTATTTTTATTTGATGTTGTTTCAAGTGATTAGCTGTTGCTTTATATCCCCGGTGTTGTTCCGCTTAATATGCATGTTGACAAAGTGCCTCCCTTGTAAATTATCCACTACCTCGTCCATACTCGCTCCAGGAGACAGTTGGTCGTTGCTGGAGGGGACGGAGTGCACGGTCCTTGTGGTCATGCTAGGCACGAAGACTGCTTCCATGCATTCAGTTTAGAAAGGACCACGATCCAACCACCGCGTTGTGTGCGCTTGATTCCACAAATATATCGTGCATGTGTTTGCCTGTGAAGGTGTGGGCCGTCTCCGTTGATGAAACGTGCCTCCTCCCCACATGCCTCTCGGTCTTATTTTTTTACCTCGCATATGGTTGTGTGGTTGGAGATGTGAATGGCGCAGCGCAAACCACCCATGGTCCCTCTGTAGGCGCAGACAGGTAGGCACCTTGTCAACATGTACATCCAGCGTGGCCACACCGGGAATGTCAAACAACAGCCAATCACTTGAAATGACATTATCAAATAAAATATATCTGTTAGAGAATACTGCTCTACCGACATAACTCTTCGAGAGATTAGCATATGAATTAAGGTAGTTATCAACGAATCCACGATAAGTACAAAATGTCTACAAGTTACCAAAAAAAGTACTACAAACGCAATAAAATTAAGGAAGACAACCACAATTAGCGAAAGCAACGTGGCTAGTTAATAGAAGATTATTCATGTAGGCAGAACAAATCAAATAAGGTGAAATGAAATTCATCCGGTATTAAGAGACCTAGTGTAAGTTGGTTTAGCCCAACTACGACGAAGAAGCATCATGAATGCAACATCAGCCTTAGCATGGGGCACATCTCATACATATATGGTTGGCGGCATCCGGTTTCGGATTTGCCTGTCACTGTGGCCAGCCACAGGAAGCTTGCGCCTACAGAGCGCCCATGGGTGGCTTGCGCTGCACCACTCACAGCTCCAACCACACACCCCATATCCAGTGTAAACCCGAAGGAATAAGACCGGGAGGCATGCAGATGGGAACCACGTTTCATCAACGGAGCCGGCCCACACTCCTTCACAGGCAAACATAAGCACACTGTATTTGGGAATCAAGCGCACACAAGGCGGTGGCTGGACAGTGAGCTTATCCGTTAAACCATTATCGCTGAGTCACCTCCCGAGTAAACGAACTTGTCCACCACTTTCAGTGAGTGATTTAGAATGGTAAGGTTAAGAGCAGCGCCTAGCCCGTCCTGCAGTAAAACCTTGCATTTCGGTGGTACGATGGTCATTGTAAACTGGGAGAGAGACACCTCCAACCTACACAGGACATTTTGGGCGGCCTGCGAGGAATCGCAGATTACGGCGATGTCGTCTGTATGCTCCGAATCCCGAAGTCGGTCCACCGGAAGCAGTTCGACGCCACTGGGTTCTCAGTTCTCCGAAGCCCTCTCCAAGATTTCGCCCCTTAAAATGCGTCTAGTATAAATCAGATCCCCGCGGCGACGACGGTAGTCTAGTGAAAATAATTCCTAAGGTGGAGACGAAGGGGATAAGGTAAAACACGTAGCACCGACACAGACTTGGATCCGCGCCTCAACCTCAATCAAATCACATTCAAATTTCGAGAGTGGGTGTATGGTAGATAACTCATATTCCAGTATTGGACGAATGTGGGAGGAAAACAGGTGCATGAAGGTCTTCGATATCGTTTTGGAGAATGATGTTCTTATGGCACTAAGCATCCTAGGTTTAGATAGTCTGCAACGGGGACTCCTAGTCGAACACCCAGTGTTAAACTGGTTAAAACCTTGTTGCGTTGGCTCGGGCACGTGCTACGCATGCCTAGTCACCGCTTACCTAGGAGGGCCTTGTTCAGTCTACCAGGTGTAGGATGGCGCAAGACTCGAGGTGGACAGAACTTGACTTGGCAGCGGGAAATGAAGTCACTGACAACCAAACTCGGTGCCCTTGGTCCATCTCGCCTTCCGGGTTTGAGTCCACGTGACTCACCTTGTGTTTGGCTCGAGACTTTGCAGGACATGGCTCGCAAACGACACCAGTGGCGCGTCTGCTACCGTCTCCTAATCGGATTGCCTGTTTAACGTGTTTGGTGCTGAGTTATCTGCGTGATAATGGCTAATTATGACGCGAGGCAGTGAAAGCCGCAAGGAAGCTGTCTCACCGATGCCGCCTTATCTTTGCACGATAGCCAGATGTTTGTGACAGTATGTTGTCTACACGAGGTGTAGGCGCCTTGACCCAGAATGTTTGCTTAGGGCATTAAGGTTTTCAGGTAAGTTCCCTTTCTCTCCCTCTTCTTATTCTTTATTTCATAGGTCCTCATGGTTGTATGGCAGCGAAGCATCAGTTCAAATGGCTGATGTACTGCTGTTGATGATGATGATGATGATAAAACCTTGTAGCTCGATTGCCATTTCACCACGCTGAATGTGCCGGGCGTACATCGGATCGCCACAGCAACGACGATATTCCAACTGCTGGAGACGAGTGTGATAGGGCAGGTGTTGTAACTCAAAAACCA